GTAGAAAATATCTTCTCGTTTGGATTGTTATTTTCTGAAATTTTCATAGAAAAATGTACTGCATTGATTTGATATATGTGGGACAAAATAATGATTGAAAAATGTGTTATGAAAAACGTAAAGCATTTTTAGGCAAAAATATTACAATCCAAACAAGGTTATGCATTGGTAATGTGTACAATACATGTCGTATGCACAAAATTTAGAATTCAAATTCAAATTCTGTAAAGTATCGGATATCTAAATCCACTAGTATATACATTGTTAGTATAAAAATTAATAGTTTACATGAATATTGAAGAATCTAATTTTGTATGATAATTGTAAGCAATGGAATTTTAATTAAATTCTAAAAATTACCATTGGTCTATAAATCATTTTTATGACTTGTTTTTATCCAATTGGATATTGCCATATGTCATGTACACTTGAAAAATTGGTTCTTAAATAGCCAATTATATTTGGGTATGTGTCAAGTTGAGGTGTTCCAATCAATTGAAATTGCTGGGATACCTACACCAACCAAATTATATCTACATGACTCAGAAATTTTTAGATAAATATCTAAATATTTATTTCTTATTAAAGAGATAATATTTAGAGTTGTTTAATCCATATATATCTCTTATATACTGCAATAGTTTGTCCAATCAAATGGTGCCACGTCACGTGTCCCTACAAGTTTGGCCAATTAAAGAATTACTTATTGATATTATATCTTTATTAGTAAATACAAAATGAAGAGATAATATTTAAGTTGACACAATCCTAATATGACTGCATGTCCTGCAAGACAAGTAAAGTGGTATACAGGTCTTCAATCTCTACCTCATACCACAACTATAAATAGGGGTCTCTCTACCAAGTCAAGGGGCACACAGACACACTAAGAGGCATCTCATACGTTCAAGTACTGAAGCTCAAAGCTACAAAAGTCCGAATCTTCAAACTCTCCAAGTCTCCCATATATCAGGACTTGAGTCTTCAAATATCTTTCAAGTCTTTCAAGTCTTCCATATCAAGATTTGAAGGAGTCAGTGGTTGATCCAAGAGCAAGCCGTAAAGCCCTTGGATTGGCGTTTGAGGAGAAGAATCGAAGGAAACTCTCTAGAAGTTTGAGAAAATCCCAGAGATTGTACTCACAATTATTCCAAATTTATATATTACATATTTATCGTGTATATTTCTTGTTTTGCAGACTTGAAATTTTAATCGCGTACAATACTAATTATAAGTAAACCTATATACAAGATAGATAAAAACATATAGCACTGAATTGTTAAATGAAGTTAAAGTTCTTTTATAATTAGCATCCAAATTTTTATTATTTTTCTTTTGCATCGCCTTGAGGCCTAACAGTCAATTACAACAATGCTCAAAGTTTGTTTTTTGTCAGAGGGAGGTCTAAAAGCCTGAATGCTTCAAGATACAACCAAACAATTATGGGAGGTGCCCATCAAAATTTGCAAGGTGCAGAGATTTCATTTGAGCCTAAGAAATTTAACAACAGTTTGAATTGCCAATTATTTACAAATTATTTTATAACATTATAAACACATTTTCTAACTAATTTTTTTATCTTCTTAATAATTATTTTATTTCATATACATCATATTACAAAAAGTGCTACAGTATTTTTTCAAATCCAAACACATTATGTGACATCTAGTAACAAATTGATGTAGCTTTGTTAAGATATCAATGCATAAGAGAGGGTTAAATTAGATAATAAGATATAAGAGATTGTAATTAGGAGATATTGAATTCAAAAACTCTCACTTAAAAAAAAACCAGCTCAGGATTGAACTCTAGCTAATCATAGGAATCATAGGAAACACCGCCTCATTTGTCTAAAACATTTGAGCAATCCCAATGTTTGAATCCATCCTCGGGATCTTATTTGGGCTTTAAATCTAGAACCATACTGGGCTATTTTAGCCTCAGATAGATCATGATCCAAGGACGATACGCCGATCACCAGGTCAAGAGGCTTTAGTTAGACATAGGAACAGGTTGGACCTAATCTCTTGTGTTGCAAAACGTGAAAATGGGCCGTGGCAAACTTTATGGCAGTTTTGTTCAAGTGTCGTGCATTCGACTCCGACCCATAGGACGTTTCACATTTATATATATATAGATATATATTTGTTGAAAGAGAATTCATTTTAGTCGAATAGGTCCTCCTTCAAAATACATATAAATAAGTAAAATATCTGCGTAAATTTTGAACTAAACTCGTTAAAAGATGATATAAGAACCAATGCCAAAAATTTCTCACAAACTTTGGGTAAAACTTTTAAGCAATGGCTACATCCCTAATGCACTATTAAACGAATGGTGCATCAAAAACTTGAAACAAATTGTTCTTAAATCCACCGTTAAAGCCAGCATTTGCAGTGATACATGAGAAAGGAGACTTCCAATATCACAATTAAATTTAGCGTTTAGTGTTACTATCAATTTCCTTTTTATTATTGGGCCTGTTTGGAACCTGACTTTTTTGGGAGTTTATCTAAAACTTTACTGTAGTGCATTGTAGAAGTTTTTGAAAAAATTTTGTAGAAGTTTTTGTAAGGTAAAAACTTTTTTTTTTCCTCTTTCCCTTTCTTTCCTTTTTCTTTTTCTTTTTCTTTCTTTCCTTTTTCTTTTCTTTCCTCTCTTTTTCTTCTTCTTCTTCTTCTTCTTCCCTGTTACCTCCGCCACCCCCAGCAGCAACTCCACCTCCCGCCACCCCTCTCCTCCCTTTCCCCTTCTCCTCCCCTCCCCCCGCCGCCCCTCTGCCCCTTCCCCCTCCCCCGTAGCCCTCCTCTGCCCTATTTTTTTTTTCCACAGAGAGGTGGGGAGGAATGGCGCCGGACGTAGAGAGAAAAAAAAAAGACAAGAGAGATGATGGCAGGGGAGGAAGAGGGGGAGAGGGAAAAAAGGGGAAAAAAAAAAAAGAAGACCGGCACCGGCACCGGAAATTGGCGCCGGAACCAGCAATGGAGGTGGTGGTGGGGGAGGAAGAAGAAGAAAAGCGGAAGGGAATTTTTTTTTGTTGTGTTTTGGATATTTTAAGTGTGTAGGTTAAAAACTTTGATAAGTTTTTGGGGGTTCCTGTAGCACAAGTTGTTAAAAAACTAGTATAATAAAAACTTGGTAAAAAATAGGGCTTCCAAACAGACCCATTATCTTTTAGTCACTTTACCCCCAAAACTAACGGTTAAACTTAACAGAATATGTTAATTAAAGTAAAAAGACATGTTTAATTCTTAAAATTATTATCACTTTACCCCCATAAAATATAGTCTCATTATCAATTTACCCCATAAAATTATTTTTTTAGGCAATTTATCCTACCATTAAACCAATTTAGCAAGTTAAAAAACTTTAGAAGAAAATACCCTCCTCTTTGCATAATAAAAATAATAAAAAATTTAAAGTGACTATTCTCCTTTTTAGTATCAAGAAAAAAAGTCAAAGTATTAATTTATTTCTTCTTGACAATCTTATTAATATAGAAAAAAAAATAGAAAGATGGAGAGAGGGAGGGGGAGGGGGAGAGGAAGAGGGAGAGCTCAAAATTTTTTTTTAAAATTACAAATAAAAAAGAACTAAATACTTTTATTATTTTAAAATTATTTCACTTTTTTGTTTGCCACCAAATTCCAATCCTAATCTCGACAATCTTAAAGTAATAGGATAATGTTAGACTTTTCTTTATTTTCTATTTTTCACAAAATCTAATTTTTTGTCTCATTCTTTCCTATCTCTTTTTCTTTTCCTAGTATTAATAAATATGAAAAAAGAAATTTGAGAAAATCCTTTTATTTTTATGTTTTTCGATCTCTTAAAGTAAGAAAAAGGATGTATAACCGTTCCAACCTTTTTATTTTTAATCATAAAAAGGGTAAATATATTTAAAATTTTTTGACCGTACTAGTTGGATTAACGATGAGGTAAAATGCCTAGAAAATAATGTTAAGAACTAAAGTAATTGTATCACTATAATCTAAACGAATAAAGTGATAATAACAATATAGTAATGCTATAAAATAAAAGGATATTTTTGTCCAAAATTTCTTAACATGTTGAGTTGAATTACTTATAGGGATAAAGTGACTAAAAGATAACGTTAGGGGGTTAACTGATAGTGGTGATATAGTTTAAGGAGGTAAAGTGATAATAATTAGTAAATTTATTGTTGCTCTTACCTTATTGTCTTGTAGCTAGAAGGAAACTTGCTCATTGACAACGAACCAAAAAAAAAAAAAATGGGAATAGAATTTGATAATTTTGTTAAGGTAGAGACCTCCTTTTTTCTTTGTTATCTAAAAACCCTTGAAAAGTTGCAATTCAAACTCCCTTATTTTCATCAACAAGATTTTAATTCTCATTGTTGCTATTGTAGCACCTAATTCCCTTCATCTTAGATTTTTAAAATTTTTTTTCCTTCAACTTAGATTAGTGATTGATGTTTATAAAAAAACAAAAAACAAAAAACCCTTCATTAACACACAGATTAATTAGGACTGGAAATTATCCTCGACCAATCAAGAGGTGCCGAACGACCATGTTCAGAAAGCTAGGAGTAGGAAAAGACAGTTTTCTAGACCAATCGAGACTGGCAGATTGAAAATTTTGAGAAGGCTAAAGATTTACGAAAGGAATATAAACCCTGAATGCTCACTCATACGAGGCAAGAGAAGCACAATAGATTAAAAACAACCAGTCTTAATCCAAGAAACCAAAAAATAGGATATAGCCATGACTGAGCAAAAGATACGAGTTCCATGAAATTACTAATCAAGATGATCCAAATCCTTGTCTTTTTGCCACATTTTTTTTTTTTGGGTACTTCTGGACCTCTAAACTGTTTGGTTTGCCGAATCCATTTTTTTGGTGTTATACTTACCTCAACTTATTTATATATATAAGAAATGGTTCTCCTTTACTGGAAGCATCACATAACCAATCTTTCCAATTCTGATTTGTTCTTCTAAACATTTCTTCTCGTCAAGATGGCTTTGGAGCTAACGAACCGCGTTCCCTCATATTTCAATGAAATTGCAGCCAAGGTGGACCTGTCAATGGTTGGCCTCAGTGTTGTAGCTTTACTAGCAGTTTACGTTAGTAACTACATTTACAGATGGAGAAATCCCAAATGCAGCGGTGCCCTTCCTCCTGGTTCTATGGGCCTCCCCATGATTGGAGAATCCCTTCAGTTAGTACTCCCAAATGCTTCCATAGACCTTCCACCGTTTTTGAAGAAGAGAATTAAGAGGTAATGTGACCATGGCCACCTTGTCCATTTAACCTATATGCTATATGTTCTCAATTTCACCTTTCCACCAAAAAAGAAAAAAAAATTACAAAAAATGTTCTTGAAATCCCAATATTGTACTGTCAATAAGTGGATCTTTTTTTTGTTTGATAAATTAGAAGTCAATATTGTAAATAAACTAAGAGAAAATTGTCTAATACGATTTGTTTGACAAAAAAAAAATTGCACTAATGACAGAAAATAAGTGGTTCTCATATTAAGATCTCAAAAAACTAAGTCAGTAAATTCCAAGAGTGCATTGTTATTACAAAGGGTACAAGTTGTAGTTTAACCATATACTAGTGAGTGGTTGTCACTTTTTATTAGTTTTGAAATTGAAACACGAATATTTAATTCGGCTGTAATTAAACATTTTCTTGCTTCAGGTATGGTCCGATTTTCAAAACCAATGTTGCGGGCAGGCCTGTCATCATCACAGCAGACCCGGAATTCAACCATTTTCTCCTTCGCCAAGATGGAAAACTGGTTGATACATGGTCGATGGACACTTTTGCTGAAGTCTTTGATCAGGCTAGTCAGTCTTCCAAAAAGTATACCAGACACTTGACCTTGAACCACTTTGGCGTGGATTCCCTTAAAGAGAAGCTACTTCCGCAAATGGAAGATATGGTTTGCGAAACCCTTCGTAAATGGTCAAGTGAAGAATCAATTGAAGTGAAAGGAGCAGCGGTTACAGTTAGTATCGAACTCAATCATTTGCCTTGCATGACTAATACTTGGTTGCATGTACAAGAATTACATTTTGACATCTTCTTGCCTTGGCAGATGACAATCAATTTTGCTGCAAAACAGATCTTCAGCGGTGACCTTGAAAATGCACCGTTGAATATTAGTGAAATGTTCAAGGACTTGGTAGAAGGACTCATGTCCTTTCCTATCAACATCCCTGGGACTGCACATCACAAATGTTTACAGGTACCTAGCGTACTTTTCCTTAAACTACTACTACTACTCATTTTCTGCAGTGATCAAATAATACTAGTTGTCAAATTCTGACCCTGAAAATCCTTATCAGATCCACAAGAAGGTCGGAAAAATGATGAAGGATGTGGTGCAAAAGAGGCTAGCAGCCCCTGAGAGAACTCAGGGAGACTTGCTTGACCACATCATCCAAGACATGGACACCGAGACATACATTAAAGAGGATTTCGTAGTACAGTTGATGTTTGGTCTGTTATTTGTCACCTCCGATTCTATTTCGACAACATTAGCTTTGGCATTCAAGTTGCTTGCTGAACATCCTGCAGTCTTGGAGGAATTAACTGTTAGTATCATATGCTGACTAATTTTAAGATAAGAAACCACGACAATATGGTCTCAAGAAAGCAATGCATAATAATGACGTTCATTTTACAGGCTGAGCACGAAGCAATCCTTAAAAAGAGGGAGAACTTGAACACCCCACTCACATGGAATGAATACAAATCTATGACCTTTACCCTTCAGGTACCACTGGCATTTGCAGAAATTTGCTGTTGAAAACACATTTTGGATCGCTTTTTTTTGATAAAATTGATCTCAAACCGCAGGTTATCAATGAAGTTCTCAGGCTGGGGAACATTGCACCAGGGTTTTTCCGCAGAGCCCTGAAAGACATCCCTGTCAATGGTACAGTTGATTTTCAGTGATCCACATATTTTTTGTAAATGAAGTCCAACATTTTCCAACTGACATTTTCAAACATTACAAGCAACAGGATATACAATTCCAGAAGGCTGGGTGATTATGATCGCCACAGCAGCTCTACATTTGAATTCCAACCAATTTGAAGATCCCCTTGCCTTCAATCCATGGCGCTGGAAGGTCTTTATTACATTAAACCAGCCTTTCCTGTCATAAAATGCAATTTGGAAGCACTTGATTAACAGAACTTTACTTTGAATTTGTATAGAACATCCAGCCAAGTGTTGTATCAAAATGTTTTATGCCATTCGGGTCAGGCATGAAGCAGTGTGCAGGAGCTGAGTACAGCAGGGTGTTGTTGGCTACCTTCCTACATGTCTTGGTCACAAAATATAGGTACTTTTCTCCGGGCTACTACTTGCACAAAATGCAAATTGGCACAGTGCAGATATTCATTTATTCCATCGATGAACTAAAATTCAACACATGTTACATTCTGAAGAAGAATATTTATTTATTTTTGGCAGATGGGCTATGGTCAAGGGAGGAAAGATCGTCCGAGCTCCTATCATAAGGTTTCCTGATGGATTTCATTTCAAAATCTCAGAGAAGAGCAACTAATGAACTTTCTTTATTCAACTCTTCAATCCTAGGCACTTGCTCAATAAGCAAGGGCATCCGGATCAATCAATCCAGTTCCATTAAATTCCTGTAATAAGTTGCCGCTGTATAGGCTTTCCTTCAATCATTACCTTGATGTACCATGCAATCTCGTTGATTATTGTAATTATCGATCAAATTTAGAAATGCTAAAATTGTTCCCTTTTAGACAGCAAAAACTAGTTTTTTTTTAAGTTTAAATTTAAATTCTGTAATCAGGGGTGACAAGAATGACAAGTCAAGCAAACAAGACTGGTTTTAAATCTTTTTGCTTGCAAAATGTTCAAGAATAACAAATCGTATTTCAACTCAATGGCTGTCCAATGCAGCAGCAAAGAATTTGTATTTTCCTGTGTAAAGTTAATGGGTTCATGCTCATGATATACGGCAGGCTTGACAAACTTCGGCTGCAATGATTCCATCAATAAATTACAAACCATATAAATTTAAATATCACAAATGAAGTACGTGGTTTTACTAAATATGGCGGCTACACAAGCTGACTTTTCCAACCAAATCCAGTGTCGGTAAAAGTCAGGGATTTGCAGAATCTTGATTATATCTTGCACCCTTTATGAGTGTCCTCTTTTCCAAACGTCTTTCTTGAGATGGTCACTTTTAGGACCTTCCCGCACACGAATAAGTCAAAGTTGCGATAATGCTTCTCCAATTTAAGTTTCTATTAATATGGCAATGCTTATCAATTAGGCTTATCTTTTTTTTTTTTATGCATCTTTTACAAACTGTAGTGACCATAAGAAATCAAACTGTTTTTGTCACCTTCTAAACTTATGGTGCATTTGATAAAATTAAAGTTTGAAAATTAAAATCTGAAATTTGAATTTATTAAGTTAGTGAATTATTATGTACTAAATTTGATATATTTAATTATATATCACATTAATTGATAAGTTAATAATTTATTACTTTTTCTTTGGAGCATATTTTGTCTAAAAAATTCAGTACCATTTAATAAATTCAGATGTTCTAGTTTTGATTATCAAACAAGTTTGAATATATTAAAATGTAAACTCATTAAATTTAAGTGTTGAATTGAATTATCAAATAAGAATTTAGACAAAGTACAATGTTTTCATCGGCCATTCTCATATATGATCATCGATCGAGCGTCTGAGCATATAAATATATATTTTTTTAGGGATAATTGCAGAAACCTCCCCTGAGGTTTCTGACATTTGTGCTGACCTCCCCTGTGGTTTGAAAAATTACACTGACCTCCCCTGAGGTTACTAATCCTTTGCAAATTTAGTCCAAACGATTAAAATATTATTTTAGAGAGTGAAATTAGAATTTTGTACCAAATTTGCCCTTTGTGCTACATGTCCAATGAATGACAAAGTACTATAAATCAATTAACAATTAATAAACTTTAAGGAGTATAATTTATGGGCAAACACGCATTACTCGTTTAAAATACCGACTCTTTACGGGTATTTTACTTTCAAACATTTAATTTGTGATAAATATATCAATATTTGTAAGTAAAATTCAAAAAGTATTACAGTAATATTCTTGCAAAAAGGAATCGGTAGGTTTTTTATTTAATATAAATTAAATATTTTTTTAAAAAAAGAAATGGCCCATAAAGTATTAATTTTGGGTTAACAACAAAAAAGCCCCCTGTGGTATAGTTATCATACAAAAAAGGCCCATGTGATTTTATATCATACGCATCGATACCCCATGGTTTGAATTATTGTGAAAAGTCGACGAAAATTGTTAAAACAGACGGAGTTGAGTGAAAAGACAAAATTACCCTTTTGATATAAGCGACAATTGCAGAAGTAATTTTGCTCTTTCATTCTGTCAAAACCAATGAAGAGAGAGAAAAAAATTAAAAACCCTAGAGAGAAGATGGAGCAGCCCCTTTTGTAGCCAATTTTCAGCAAAAATTTCGATTCTTATTTCAATCAAATATCAAGATCGAAGGAAAATACGAAGAAATGAAGATTTGCGGTGAAAAATCAAAGAAAAATGGGTTAGTATATCATCTCTCATCTATTTCGATTCGGGTTTTGGGGTATGCTGTGGAAGGAAAAATGTTATTTACTGATTTCAGATTAAATTGGGAAGCCATTATTTAACAAAGATAAGATTTTTGATGTATTTACGTATGTTGTTAATGAAGATGAAGGTTTTTCATGTATGCCCAGCAAACCTAGCTGCATAGATAGACAGCTTAAGCGTCCCTTTCAAATTGTTAAAGTTTTGATAATTATTGAAAGCTTAAAAAGAGATAACTTTATAGAAGAGGTCCCTCGTTTACCAGCTTTGGTTCCAATTCCTCAGTTGTTTGGGATGATAAGGCTATGCATTTCATGTCCGAATCTGGTCACCCCTTCTTTTTGGTCAGACTCAATTGTTGAGTCTGACAGTCCGTCTTTTTGGCTTGAAGTTATACTATCAAAGTGCAGTATCACTTCTATTGATCAATTACTACTGTTAAATGCCATGACTAGTCAAGCACGCCAGCTTCTGTAATATCTCATTATCTTAATATGGCTTATATGGAGATATGTTATGGTCCAATGTGGTCCCCAATCCCACCTACAATGAATTGTTTGTTCTGATTGTATTATGTTAGTTTTTTGTGTACTTGTGAAAGACAAATTACTAATATCTGAGAACTTTATTGCTTATCATGCTGCAGTAGAGGAGAAATCTAAGGACAAAGTTGACATACACATGTATTTTGGTGGGAGATTTAGAGAAAAATTAAGGCTCCACTACACAGGAACCCACATGACTATTTTCAAAGACAGAATTGAAGATCAGTTATCGATAGTGAGCCTGTGCAGAATGTTTAAAAAGGTAGAAAGTGGAGTAACTAGAGTAACGCTTTGATTTTGTGTCCCAAATGTTGATTTAGAAGGTGGTCTACACCCAATTAGAGACAATAATGATATTGAATTAATGAACCAGTGCTACTGGAACTTGCCTAAGGAAAGGCTAATTTATGCTTGTAGTGGGGATGAGCCATTTGAAAAGGAGCCAGAAGATGGTGGAGTCAGTGATGGAGCCCCACTTTTCAAAGTTTTCGTTCATTATAAGAATAGAGTACCCATTTTTTTTAAACAAAAATTTAGTTATCGGATATAATAATAATTAACTCGTTGTTGAATAAAAAATCAATTCTTTATGGCTTTCCTCTATTACAACAATCTAGTACCCAAGGTGCCTTAAATAGAAATTTATTTGTTGGATAAAATAAAAATAAATTCATTATTGAATAAAAGACCTGCTCTTTATACCTTTCGTCCATTATACTCACAGAATACCCAAGGTGCCTTAAATAGAAATTTATTTATCGGATAAAATAAATTTAAACCCATTGTTGAATAAAAGATAAGCTCTTTATGACTTTCGTCCATTATACTCACAGAGTACCCATTTTTCTTAAATACTAATTTATTTGTCGAATAACATAAAATAAATCCGTTATTGAATACAAGAGCCCCACTTTTTAAAGCTTTTGTTCATTATAAGAACAGAATGCCCATTTTTTTTAAGCAAAAATTTAGTTATCGGATATAATAAAAATTAACTCGTTGTTGAATAAAAAACAAGTTTTTTATGATTTTCCTCCATTACAAAAACATAGTACCCAAGGTGCCTTAAATAGAAATTTATTTATTGGATAAAATAAAAATAAACCCATTGTTGAATAAAATACCAACTCTTTATGCCTTTTGTCCATTATACTCACACAGTACCCAATGTGCCTTAAATAGAAATTTACTTGTCGGTTAAAAATAAATTTAAACCCGTTGTTGAATAAAATACCAGTTCTTTATGACTTTCGTTCATTATACTCACACAGTGCCCATTTTACTTAAATTCTAATTTATTTATCGAATAACATATCGGATCACATAGTACCAATTTCGTTCCTTTTCACTGCAACAAAACGCCATACATCAACAACAGCCTACCAACTAGCAATTCGGTAGATGAAGAACTACATCATCAACAACAGCCTACCATTATCTTATCTGGTAGACATCAACAACAATAAAATAGAAAAAGTAGATACCATAACACAACCTCCAACTAACAATTTCAAGTTCTTCATTTCATTATCCAAATTTTCCAGTTTTGAGAGCACGTCACCCAAATACGAATTTTCTTGAACAAGTTGGCTCACTACGGGGACAGGTGTATCTCGATCTGGCTCGTCTCTGTAAATTGGACTACACCATGAAAAGAACCTACATTCATCTTTTTCACACACAAAATACAACGTTCCTTTCGATGGCTTTTCCGACTCACCAATCTTTAGTTTCGCCTTCCTTCCACAATTACATATCTTGTATCCGTATCGAAGACCTCTAGCTCCATTTCCGCCGCTGGTTGGTCGAGAGCTTGAGGAAGACATCGATTCTCCACTTTTTGCACTTTCCCTTCAATATTTACAAACAAAAAACTAGACAGCTAAGCTCGGACATTTTGGTCGATGTAGCTCGGACATTTTTACCTTAAGACTAAGGCTTTGTTTCCTGCAATTCTTTTGCTGGCTTGCAACCTCTGCTTGATTGATTACTCTCGATGTATGCACAACCTTCAATTTTGGCCGAAGCCCAGCATATCAGTTGAAAGTATTAAAGTCACTGAAGGCCGAGCCTTCAATTTTGATGTCTCCATCTGTTTATTAAAGTCACTGAAGGGTAAAGAAGGCATATCAGCTGAAAGTTTGTGGTAGAAATCCATTTTCCGCAAGAAATACGCGCATTTCCAGTGCGTTTAAGTCAAACGCGGTACATTTGACTATTTCTGTTGACTTTTCACAATAATTCAAACTATGAGGTATCGACGCGTATGATATGAAATCACAGGAAACTTTTCTGTATGATGGCTATACCACAGGGGGCTTTTTTGTTGTTGACCCATTAATTTTTTATGGTTTTCATCCATTACATGAGTAAAGTATTCGCTCTTTATGTGCATTTTATTCATTTAATTTATGTTAAATATATAAATGTTTGTAACTAAAATTGAAAAAGTGTTATATTAATATTTTTACGAAAGAGAGATTGGTAGGTTTCGTATTTAACAAAAATTAAATATTTGAAAATAAATACAAATATGTATTTGAGCGTAAATATTTGTATTAAATTAAATGTTTGAAAGT